AAAAAAATTTTGAGGGAAGACACGACACGTTAGAAATACAAGAGGCCAATGTGCAGAGAAAATCCATCAACTTTTACGCATGAAGTGGTATAAATGTGAAAAACATAAGACTACAGTCGACGGGAAAATTATCGGCTCCATAGATGGAGATCCAAACTATGCAAAAGTATTTACTTCAAATATTTCTGGTGCTAGTTTATTCGAAAATGAACTATTTCGGTGTCTAATTAGCTTATTCGTAGGGGAAATTTCAATCAAAGACTGAAGGAAGCCTTGTTTTGAGAAAAACAGAAATGAAGAGCAAGGAAGGGAATGCCAGACCAGCAGGTGAAAAATGATACATACAAAGCCGGTGGGAGAGCTGCTGCTAGTGCAAATGTGCACCACGCTGAAGTAACGGTTAATTTGAGTACCAAAGCAGAGATGATAAGTAACGGCCATTAGAAGGCTGAATCATAAGTGGACGGACCAAATGGAGCGGCCGAACTGGGTTAAATTGGTAATTTGCGGCCCGCCCCTTGGTAGGCCGAGATAATTTGCGGCGCGGCCCTTGGTAAGCCGAATCGTGATTTCCGAAGTAAATGGCTAGTTCATACCGTGGAAAATATGAATCCGAATGAACTAATATAACAAAAAAAAAAAAAACAAAACAATAAAAAAGAACTATCATACGTGATTCTGTTGGTAGCTGGCAGGCTTCCATTACCACCGATGTCAGAAAAGAACCAAGCTGTTCACGAATTTCCGAACTGAAATCCGAAAATGGCAGCTTCAGCAATGGACTGATATGCATATCAGCGGCACAATGCATCCACCATTCACGTACCGTATATTGCCGTGAAATTTCTGGATCCAAAAAATATTCGATGTATCGTGAGAAAATATCATTCTGAATCTAAAAAAAGCTAATGAAATGTAAAATCAAGAACTTTCCTAAAATGCCTAGCTGTTAACTTGGTATTTTGGTTTTTCAACTTTTGTAGCTGCACTTTTCCAATTGTTTTGAGTGATTTTGCATCTATCAAAAACAGCGAAAACGAGATTTTCCCTGACATGCGTGAAGCATTACCTGTTAGTCTTTAATGTTGTCCCTTCTGCAACACAATTAATTATTTTACAGTTAAAATTAAAGTTGGAAAAATCAAAAAATTTTCGCACCTTTGCAGCAGTTTTTGAAACTTTCTGCACGAACATTTGGCTGATAACGTTCAAAATTGGATTTGCAAGACGAAACTGAAATGTCGTTGCCGGGATAAGTTCCTCGCCTTGCGCACACATTGACATGATTGTTGAGAGCATCAATGATGTACAAACTTTCAAATCCACAACATTCATGAAATCCTTCACTGAAAAAAATATTCGAATTTGCGATGCTGAGGATCAATCTCCTCGGCTACAGAGAAGAATAACTAGCCAGCGCAGCGACTGCCGGTGCAAAGATGCGTTTTTTTGCACAGTTCCCAGCAGGTTTTTTGTAGCTAACGGTACTGTTTTTAAAGGCAGATGCTTCTAGCTAAATGAATTGAGACTGGCCACAACGATTGAGGGAAAACATTCGCTTAAATTTCAGCTTACTAGCTTTTCTGGTTCCTAAGTTAGCAATTTAGCCACCAACGATACCTGGACAATATGCGTTTTTGCACTGCATAGATGCCAAAAGATGTATAAGAATAAAATTAGGTCATACATGGATATTGGCGCAGTTCTTCCACGCTTGAACGCAAACAGCTAAGAATATTTTCATGCCATTTCCACTCTTTAATCAATCCTTCCATGGAAATTTCATTTGTTGTTCTATTAAAATTTTTCACATACAAATATCGATCATTTTCTCGCTGTTGCTGTTCCATAAATTTTTCCATATACTTCTCCTGAAAAAAAAAAAAACTCTCCAGAAAAATCGAATTTCCCTTGGAAGTCACCTAATTTTTAAGCATAACATGCAAAGATTCATTAAAATCAAGATTAGTGGGCTAAGTGATAAAGTAGAGAAATTTTTTCTTGAGTGAGATACTTCTGTTGCAGCCGTCACACTGATGAGGTCCAGTTGCAGCACTGATTGGGAATGTATGTGATTTGACGGACCGAAACATGCCAATTCAGTCTTTATCTTAATTTTTATTTTAATTAAATTTTTATTTTAATTTTATTTTTTTATTTTAGTTTTATTTTTTAATTTTTAGTCACAACCTTTTTCATAACCACAAAATATTTGAATTTCAATAACCGTGTAGAAAATTCACAGCGATAGTATTTTGAGGCTTAAATATCTCAAAACAAGAATCAAATTTTGATAGAATCGAAAGTTACTGATATTGCCGGAATAACTCTGTGCTTGGCATGATTCCAACCTCGACGGATTAGTAGAATAGAAGGATTGGTCCCAAGCGTCATGTGCCTGAGGAAATTTTATGATGCAGTCTGTGTTTCATCCCTTAGCTGTAAACACTGATCGAGCACTAGTAGGATGGGAAATCTTTCAAGCTTTGCGATCCTGAGCTGATATTTTCAAAAAACGCTAGTCGCTTATCGATTTATATGCGTCCAATTAATACAATTAATTACACTAAAACAAATTCGCTTTTTTTAACCTCTGTAAGACCAATGTTGGAATATGGCGATCCGTGATATTCATGCTTCGAAGCTGGCTTATGTAATCCATCAAGTAGACGTACATCCTAAAATGTTCAAAATATCAATCCAAAAAGAAAAACAGAGTAGAAAAGAAAGGCCATAGAAGCCCAAACCTAAATCGAACATCTCAAGCACGGTCGACGGGGAGACCGAGATTGTTAGGCGATATTTTGCGGCCGTTGATAGGCCGAAGAAAAAATACCTTCTCAAATAACGGACCGTGCAAACCAAAGAAAAACCGAAAAATTTAGGGGAATAGGGATAAAAATACAAGGGGGAAAACAGCGTTTTATCATGTACATTTACTTACCTCCACAATTTGACTTAATTACGTTTAGCATGCTTTATTTTATTACCTTATCATACGGCCATTCCTGCTCTTTTTCCTTGTATACGACATTTTTGCCAAACATTTCTCGTTCACGAAAACGAATTACCACTTGGTCTTCATCGGTGAACAGAAATCGATTGTAAAATCGAGGCAGCGAGCCAAAACCAGCCTGAAATTCGACAGAATTTCACAAAAACGCTAAAAATAATAAAAGGGGAATTAAAATTTCGAAATAATTATAACTTTTAGGAGAAAATTTTGGGATGAAATGCAATCAAAAAAATAGTAGTTTTTTTGTTCTATAAAATACTGATAACAGGAAATTTTCGATTTAGGATCATAAAATTCTTATGAGAACATTAGTACTACAAAAATTCTACTTTATCGAATTATTATAAAATGACCTCAGAAGAAAGTATCCACTTCAAAATGGTCATAATTTTTTCCAAAAAAAATTCAGGATGAAGTGCAAAATTCAAAAAAATCATGAAATCTCGGCAAAATTTTCAAAATTTTTCCAAAATTTGATACAGGCTAACCTGAGAGGTCAATTTTCTCCTCAACTGGATATGCGTATCATCGATATCATTCGATTTTCCATCAATCGTTCGTACATCAATCCATCGTTCGAAACGATCCAGCAACAATATCCATGCCGCTTTCGTATCATCCCCTTGGATTGGCATCTGTTCCATCAAACTTGACAGCGAGAAAAACAGCTGCAATGGTTCGCGTGAATCGGCCAACGATTGATTCCTTGCATAGTGCTCATATTGTCGCGCAGCTAACAATAGCACAACACTGAAGATCTGAAAAACAAAAAGTACTGAGAAATTTAAATATTTGGGAGGCTTAATGGAGTCTTGAAATTGTGGTAATGGTAAGAAATGTATACGATTTAATCGACCGGAAAATTTCTTATCACTGAATTAATTTTTATAATTTATAAATTTTGTAATTCTCTTCTCCTACCTTTTTTTACTCTTCCTTTTCTTTCATGCGCTGTTAATACACCCTGTTTTTTCATTCTGTTATAACTAACTGCTTTTATTTTTTTCCAAATTTTCACTCTTTCTTTGATCGGCGCTTAGAATTTTCTTTAAATACATACCATTTTTACATTTTCTTGATTACTCTCTATTGCTTAGAAGCAAGCTATCAGGCGATTTTGACTTGTCAAAAGCCATTATCAAATTATAGTCAAATTGAAAAAAACGTTTCAATTTGGTCAGCGAAGTTATCTCCAAGTAGCCAAGTCGAGTGCCACTGACCACTACGAATAAGAAGGTAGCACCATAGACTGATCATAGGTGGATCCAGGAAGGTCTTCTGGGGAGGAGCAACGGGGAAGGGGGAGGGGGGGCCTCCCATCTACCACAACCCTGAAATTCCCTACATGGAATGACCACTTTTTGGTCGGGCTTCCTTTTGGGCCCCTTTTTCCCTTTCTATTTCTTCAGTTTTAGCTTTAGACCCGGACTTTTGTAGCACTGGCACCTGAGTCGCTGGGTGAACGGGGTGAGGGCGGAAGTGCGCCCTATGCATATAATACTACAGCTAGGCTCTAGGTAAAGCGAATATAGGCAAAATTCGATAAAACTTGGACCTCATCCTCCTGGCCTTCAGCAAGTACTTTTGCACTGAGCGAATCGAGATATGCATGCGC